TCGCCCGGCTAGTTTTTTGTATTTTTTAGTAGAGATGGGGTTTCACCGTGTTAGCCAGGATGGTCTCGATCTCCTGACCTCGTGATCCACCCGTCTCAGCCTCCCAAAGTGCTGGGATTACAGGCTTGAGCCACCACGCCCGGCCGAGTTTCTTATGATAGCTACCATTTATTGAGTGCTTACTCTGCTAGGTATTATGCCAAGGATTGCCGGTAAATCCACTTAATTCTCATGCCAATCCTTAGATGTATTATAATAGACCTTTTTCTGATGTTATACATAAGTAAACTGAGGTTTGGGAATATTTAGGTAACTTAGCGTCAGTCACGTAACTGGCCATTGGAGTGTGCATGATCCAGATCCCAGGTTTTTAAACCACTAATCTGTTTTCCTGAAAGATCTTAATGACAGATCTTTCTGTCATTAAGAAATGACAGGACTGTAGGATAGAGGCCAACTCATTAGGCTGGCCTTGGCACCTTTCCAACTTTATCCCTACACCTTAGCTGCACAGGATGCCTTCCTGGAATGCCCTTAGTTCTCTATTCAACCTCCTCAAGGCCTTCTCACTCTTCGCACACCATCTCCATGAAACCTTTCTTGACCACACCAGCCCATAGAGCTCTGTCCTGCACACACTGCACTGCTCATTTGGTGTTCAGTCACGTGCTGTCTTGGGAGGGTTCTTGTTTTTTTGTGACTATACCTGCTGCTATTTCTGAGCTCACTTTCTAGGTCTGAGAATACAGGGTCAGCCCTTAAGCCACACTGGGGTCCTGTAGATGCTGTTTGTGCAATTAGGGAATGCTAATTAGAATACTATCTCTGGGCTATCTATGCTGCATCAGTCTTCCTGTCAAACAAGTTACAGTTGTCTTATCTGTATTTCTGATGAGAATCAGGAATTTTTCTTCTGTTTAATGAATTTCCAATTGCTTTCAAAGTATTCTAACATAAAAGGCCAAATTGTACTACAGGCCTTTAAGTGAAAAAAATAAAAAAGCAGTCCCAGGCCGGGCGTGGTGGCTCATGCCTGTAATCCCAGCACTTTAGGAGGCCGAGGTGGGTGGATCATCTAAGGTCAGGAGTTCAAGACCAGCCTGGCCAACACGGTGAAATCCTATCTCTACTAAAAATAAAAAAATTAGCCAGGCGTGGTGGTGCATGCCTTTAGTTCCAGCTGCTCTGGGAGGCTGAGGCAGGAGAATTGCTTGAAGCCGGGAGGCGGAGGTTACAGTGAGCTGAGATCATGCCACTATACTCCAGCCTGGGCAACAGAGCGAGACTCTCTCAAAAATTAAAAAAAAAAAAATCCAGACCTCTCCCTTTCACCCATAAATCCCTCTGCCCAGTGACAGCCACTTTCAGCTCCTTTCCCTATGTCTTCTGGTATTTACCTTTGGATTTCTAAATAATAATAATATTAATTGACTATTATTACTAATCTGTAATCCTTAGGGAATACCTGTTATATACTAGGTACTGTTCTAAGTGCTTTACAGCCATTAGCTTATTTAATCTCAACAACCCCTGTGAAGCAGGGTGTATTATTGTTTCCTTTTACAGATGAGGACACTTAGGCACAGAAAGGTTAAACAGTTTGTACAACCTCACTATCATTAGTAGGTGTTAAAGAACTGGAATTTGAACCTAGGTAGTCTGGCTCCAGAATCTGTGCTTGTAATCATACTGCCCTCCTGTATTGTCTCTCATTGCTATTTCTTCATCTGTCAATTTTAGGTAGTATCTGTTAAGCTCTTAGTATGGGATATGAGCATTTAGTCTTCTTACACCATCACGTTGGCTTCCTTTCCCCTTTCAGCTTCATAATAATTTAAAAATAAGTCAGTATTCTATGTTTACATTATTATAACTCTGAAAGATTCATTTACTATCAAGCCAAATAGTGTAGTGTGATTTAATCTATTTTCTTCTAAAGCTTTTTGTTTTTCCTGGAGCTGACAATTGCATTATTTTTTCATTTGCTTAGTTTTCTAGGTATTAATCCCTAATTCTTTCCAAACCTTTCGAGAAACTGTAAAACTCTACAATTCTTGCTTGAACCCGGGAGGCGGAGGCTGCGGTGAGGCCACTGCACCCCAGCCTGGGTGACAAAGCGAGACTCCATCTCAAAAAACAAATAAACAAAAAGCCCCTACAGTTCTGTTTTTCACATGGTCAAATGTGTCAGCTGCACTATTTTTCTTTTTTTTTGAGACCTAAAACTAGGGATTGCCTAAGCTTTTCCTCTTTAAAAAGTCAGGTTTATATAGGTATAACTTGCATACAGTAAAATTAACCTTTTTTAGGTGTAAGAGTTCAGAGAGTTTTGATAGAATATATCAAGGTGTAGAGCCAGCGCCGATGGCTCACACCTGTAGTCCCAACACTTTGGAAGGCCGAGGCAGGAGGATCACTTATGCCTAGGAGTTCGAGACCAGCTTGGGCAACATAGTGAGACCCTGTCTCTATTAAAAAAAAAAGTATCAAGGTATAGGAAATTTCCATTACCTGACAAAGGTCACTCACCCTTTTGTAGTTAATATCTTCTCTCCAACCTACATCCAGCCAACTGCTGATCTGATGTCTGTCCTTATATTTTACCTTTTCCAGAATGTTGCATAAATGGAGTCATACAGTAAGTAGCCTTTTGTGTCTGGCTTCAAGCCTTTGCTTTTTATAAAGAATAACAATGGTAATAATTATAACTGACATTTATTAAAGGCTTAGCAGATACCGTATACTGTGCCACAGGCTTTTCGTGGGTTATCTCATCACCGTTTCACATATGTAGGTATACAATTCTTTCTTTAAAATGTGTGACTGTGAAGAATATTATTGAACATTATGTTAAAATGTGTTACACTGAGACTAAGAAAAACAGAGCTCATCTTTTCTTTCAACTGATTTCCTTTTAACATTGTACTTCAGTACCTGGAAGCTGCTTGCTTCTTTCCCCAGCTAGGATACAAATTCCCTGACAGTTAAATGCTTCTTTACTTCCCATCCAGTGCCTTGCACAGGGCTTGGTACATGGTTTGATCCAAAATATTTGTTGAATAAATTTGCAGATAGCACAGGTGTGTAGGAGGGGGAGAGAAGGTTCTTGAAAAATGGAGATTGGAGGAATCTGGGGTGGGGAGGGAGGTATGGGAAGGGCCCAGACAGAGGCAGGAGGGTTCCAACTTATTCCTCTTCCCTGCAGCCCAGTGTTTCCCGGGCTCTTTGAGTTCTGCTCGCGTTACACAGGCGCATCTCTGCAAGGAGCAACCCAGCTGAACAACAAGGTGACATAGTCCCGAGTCCTGTTCCTCCTTTCCTCTAGATCCCTGGACTCGGGATTTAACCCTGATCCTGGGCTCCCAGCTTGAAGGATGGGCAGGAAGGACTGTGACTTGGGTGTTTGTCTTTCAGATCTGTGATATTGCCATTAACTGGGCTGGTGGTCTGCACCATGCCAAGAAGTTTGAGGTGAGTGAGGAGTTGATGGGAAAGACAGTGGCCATCCTCGGGTAGGTGTTTAGGATGATGGTGGGGGCAGCTGGGTAGGGGAATTGCTCCTCTCTTTATGAGACCACTGTCTTGCCATAGGCCTCTGGCTTCTGCTATGTCAACGACATTGTGATTGGCATCCTGGAGCTGCTCAAGTAAGTAGCCCAGGAGGAGATGGGGGCAGTTACGGGATTCTTGGCTGAGAAGGTCTGTCAGACTCAGCCCTGACCTTGACCTCCCTCCTCCCTGACTAGCTTCTCCCAAGTTCTTGATGCTTTATTCAGGCTGCCTCTTCCACTGCTGCAGATTCCCTGCTGCCTGCTCACATTTCAGCCTTCTCTGCATATCCCTCTTCTGTCCCTGCCTCTAGCCTCTAGCCTGGAGCCCCCAGTTGCCTTTAGGGAACTGGTGATATTAAGTTTCAGGTGACCAGGGCAGAAGCAGACTCTTCACAAAACGAGACCCGGTGTTTGGGAGGAGTGGGTCAGGGGTTCACTTCTAGCTCAGACCCTGGCTTTGGCTTCCCTCCAGGTACCACCCTCGGGTGCTTTACATTGATATTGACATCCACCATGGTGACGGGGTTCAGGAAGCTTTCTACCTCACTGACCGGGTCATGACGGTGTCCTTCCACAAATACGGAAATTACTTCTTCCCTGGCACAGGTATGGGAATAGGGATTACTTTCCCATTTGCACCCTTCAGCTCTTTACTATGAGTGCCTCCTTCTCAGCCTTCTAGTCTCATCTCAGGTGTCCCCTCCTCAGAGAAGCCTTTCCTGACCACCCCAGTTGTCACAATCACCTCCTTCCCCATTCCTCTGTTACATCAGCCTCATTCCCTCAGAACACTCACTGCTATTTATGTTTATTGTGGTTTTTTGTTTTGTTTTGTTTATTGCCTCCCTCCTCATGCCTACTCCCTAAGAATATAAGCTTGGTGGGATATCGTAAATTTCATTAGTTCCGTTCACTGCTGCGTCCCTACTGCCTAGTACACAGTTGGCTCAGAGTAGATCCCCCAAAACTCTTTGCCAAATGAATGCGAGCTGCAGGAGATTTAGTGGCTCTAGGGAGTTTATGGTGAAGCTACATAGATGCAGTGAGAGGCTCCCAGAGTGCAGATTGGGGTTGAAACAGCTGGGCTGTGGGTGCTTCCCATGTGTGGCTACCACCACCCGCTTCCCTGTAGGTGACATGTATGAAGTCGGGGCAGAGAGTGGCCGCTACTACTGTCTGAATGTGCCCCTGCGGGATGGCATTGATGACCAGAGTAAGTATTGAAGTCTTCCTTCTGTTCCCTAGGCCCCTTCTTTTTCTCCTTGAAGTAACCTCTTCTGCCTCGTATTGTCTGCTGTTGGGGCCAGGTGTCCTTAAGGATGAAGGGCCTTCAGAGGGACCATGAATCCCTGGGAATTGTATGCAACATATCATGTATATGTGCATTTTTCTGGGAAAAGTCATTGGCTTTCATCAGTCACCCATAGCAGTCTGGGATCCCTTCCAGAAGTTTCAGACCAATGATTCGGTTCTTTTGGGTTGCCCCTTTCCTGGGCTACATGCTCGCTCAACCCCCTTTTTCCTTTTGTTCCCTGTCTCCCCATCCCCTTGGGGTGCCAGGTGCCCATCTTTGGCCCTCTCCCAGGTTACAAGCACCTTTTCCAGCCGGTTATCAACCAGGTAGTGGACTTCTACCAACCCACGTGCATTGTGCTCCAGGTAATACTGTCAGTTCCTCCTCAGGAGTGTTCTGCCTGGGCTTGGGGAAAGAGGACAAGGGAAGAGGAGGTTCTTTAGGTTGGTGATAGACGGGGTATCTGTGATGTTCTGATCAGTTATCTCACTGCACTTGCCTGGGCTTTTGCTTTTTGCAGTGTGGAGCTGACTCTCTGGGCTGTGATCGATTGGGCTGCTTTAACCTCAGCATCCGAGGGCATGGGTGAGACTTGCTCTCCTTCTTCTCCGCAAGGTTTTCAAGTGGCCTTGGACTTCAGTACGTGGGTGGGGGTAGATGGGGAATGGGCCTCACCTCTTCTTGGAAATCAAAAGTAGCTATAAATTGTACTTGAACTAGAAATGTCATCTTGAACAGAGTTCCCTAGATGGTCATTCATTCACAATATATTTTTATTAAGTACCTATTATGTTCCAGGCATTGTACCACATCATGGGGATGGAATGAGGAGTCTCCTGTGGAGTTCACAGTTTAGGAAACAGACAAAAAATAAATAATCAAATGAAATAGATTGTTATAGATTCTATGAAAGAAAAAAGAAAGCTGAGACACAGGATACAATGGGGGACCTACTTTAGATAGCATGATTTGGAAAAGTTTTTCTGAAGAAGTAAAATTTGAGCTGAGACCTGGAGACTAAGAAGGAGTGAGTCATAAGAGGAGCAGAGAGAAGCCTGTCCCAAGCATTGACAAAGGCCCACAAAAGGCTCTGAGGGCTGGGCCCAATGGCACACACCTATAATCCCAACACTTTGAGAGGCCAAGGTGGGAGAATCGCCTGAGGCTGGGAGTTTGAGGCCAGCCTGGGCAACGTGGCACGAGCCATCTCTACAGAAAATAAAAAACAAAATCAGCTGGGCATGATGGTGCATGCCTATAGTCCTAGCTACTCAGGAAGCTGAGGCAGGAGGATCACTTGAGCCCAGGAGTTTGAGGTTACAGTGAGCTATGATTATGCCACTGGACTTCAGTCTGGGCAACAGCGTGAGACACTGTTTCTTTAAAAAAAAAAAAAAGGCTGTAGCAGGAATGAGCTGACGAAGTAGAATGCAGGGAGCAGGCTGGAGGTAGTTTGAGGTGAGGTCCGAGAAGCTGGCCATGGTGAGATTGTGCAGAGCCTTTAAACCCTGGTAAGGAGTTTGAATTATATTCCAAACATGATGGGAAACCATTGAAGGATTTTAAGCAGGAAAGTGACATGATCCAATCTGTGTTTGAAAGTGACTATTCTGACTGCTGAATAGAGAAAAGTTTGGATGGGGGAATGGGGGTGGAAGTGGGAAGACCAGTTAGGAAGCCATGGTGTTGGTTAGGTGCCCAGACTAAGGTGAAGGAGGTGGCAATGAAGAACAACAGCCACAACCCAGCTGTTGCAACACACACACACATATATATGGTTTTTTCTTCTTTTTTGAGATGGAGTCTTGCTCTGTCGCCCAGGCTGGGGTGCAGTGGCACGATCTTGGCTCACTGCAAGCTCTGCCACCTGGGTTCTAGCGATTCTCCTGCCTCAGCCTCCTGAGTAGCTGGGACTACAGGCATGCGCCATCATACCTGGCTCTCTCTCTCTATACATATATATATATGTATGTATATATATATATTTTTATTTTTAGTAGAGACTGAGTTTTGCCACGTTGCCCAGGTTGGTCTCAAACTCCTGAGCTCAGGCAATCCGTCTGCTTCGGCCTCTCAAAGTGCTAGGATTACAGGCGTGAGCACTGCACCGGGCATGAGTTATATTTTCAAGGTTAGAATTGACAGAACCTGCATTGATGAGAGTAGTTGGTTAACACGCAGGGTGCCAGGGAGGGTGTTGAGCAGAACAGAGGTGGGACTGTGCTTTATTTTAAAATTTTTATTGAGACACAGCATATAAAGTATATGCAAATCTTAAGGGTATAACATAATGAATTTCACTATGCAGCTAAAGATTTGGAACATTTATAGTTTTCTTGTGCTCCTTTCAGGCAATACCTAAAGGTATTTATTTACCTTGTCTTTTGATAACCTCCTCCACATCTTCCTCTGGTTTCTTTTAACAGGGAATGCGTCGAATATGTCAAGAGCTTCAATATCCCTCTACTGGTGCTGGGTGGTGGTGGTTATACTGTCCGAAATGTTGCCCGTTGCTGGTGAGCACCCTCCTGATTTCCTCCCCTGTTGTCCAGTGTGAGCTAGGGTGTCCCTCAGATATGGCCACATGGGCCCTTCAGCCCACTTGATCAGCCTGCTCCCCTCTGCTGGTTGGTTTCAGGACATATGAGACATCGCTGCTGGTAGAAGAGGCCATTAGTGAGGAGCTTCCCTATAGTGGTAAGGACTACCCCACAACACCCCCATAACAGGAAGGCCATTCTCACCAGATTCCAGAATGACCTGGTTTGAAGGCAGATGGGAAATTTTACACTTTCAGAGCTCTGCAGGCTAAACCCCTGGGCTCAGAGCAGGGAAAAGATTGGGCAGCTATTATGTAGGTGCTCTGGATGGGAAGGAAAAAGATTGGGAAGTCTTGGTAGCTGCCTTTCTCAGTCTGAGCTATACTTTCTCCTCTCCTCCCCAAGAATACTTCGAGTACTTTGCCCCAGACTTCACACTTCATCCAGATGTCAGCACCCGCATCGAGAATCAGAACTCACGCCAGGTCAGCAGCTCAGAAAAGCTGAGCACAAACTTCTCCTGAAAGGTGGAGCCCAGGAGAGGTCAAAGATGTGGGAAGTAGGAAAAACCAAGGAGAAGGAAGTTCTAAGTCATCACTGTCACTGTTATTGGCTAGGAGGCAGTCCAGGTTAAAGTAGAGGCAGTTGGGGTTGGTGGGGAGGGACAGCTATCAATTGGGGGACCTGAACTAGAGATACCACTGAGATGAAAATCAGGATGGTAGGGGTAAAAGGCAACTAGGAGATTGCATGCCCTGGGAATCACTGGGAACTGCTCACTCTCTGTTCCTCATTTCCAACCAGTATCTGGACCAGATCCGCCAGACAATCTTTGAAAACCTGAAGATGCTGAACCATGCACCTAGTGTCCAGATTCATGACGTGCCTGCAGACCTCCTGACCTATGACAGGACTGATGAGGCTGATGCAGAGGAGAGGGGTCCTGAGGAGAACTATAGCAGGTCTGGGAGCAGGGACTTCAGCCTACTTCCAATAGGCTTGCTGGGGAGGTTTAAAAGGGAAAAAGTAAATGGGAAGGTATTAGCTTAATTGCCTCTGGCTTACCTCCTTTAGTCTGCTACAATATCCTCACTCTTTTCTTTGCTGTTTTTAATGACAAAAATAACACGTATTTATTGTAAAATTTTAAAACAGCACCAAAATATGTTGTTTGCTTTCACACAATCCCAGACCCATTCCACAGGAGTAACCACTGTTAATAGTTTTTATTTTAGATAGGCCTTTTTCTATAGATTGCAAATATACTGTTCTGTATGTACATATAAACAAACACACACTCATTTGCAGTTTGTGTGGTTTTTAGTTTTTTATAAATACAAATAGAGTCATTCTACATATGCTGCTTTACATGATATGGCTGGTTCCAGTTAGCTAATATAGATCTGCCTCAGTATTTTATCAGCTGTATAATAATCTGTTGTGTAGATGGATTATTTTCCATTTTTTTGGTATTACAGTAATAATGTGGCAATGAACCCCCTTACATATACATCTTTGCATTCTTGTTTGAATGGGTTAGATAGTAGAATGGTTGCTGCTAGGTCAAAGGCTGTGTGCACTAATTTTTTTTTTTTTTTGAGACAAGGTCTCATTCTGTCACCCAAGCTGGAGTATAGTGGCATGATTATAGCTCACTGCAATCTTGAACTCCTAGGTTCAAGTGATCCTCCTGCCTCAGCGTCTTGAGTAGCTGGGATCATAGGTGTGCACCACCACACCTGGCTCATTTTTTTTTTTTTTGTAGAGACGAGTCTTGCCTTGTTGCCCAGGCTGGTCTCAAATTCCTGGGCTCAAATTCCCGCCCTGGCCTTCCAAAGTGCTGGGATTATAGGCGTGAGCCACTGAGCCTGGCCTAAATTTTTTTTTTTTTTTTTTTTGAGATGGAGTCTCGCTTTGTCACCCAGGCTAGAGTGCGGTGGCGTGATCTAGGCTCACTGCAAGCTCCGCCTCCCGGGTTCACGCCATTCTCCTGTCTCAGCCTCCTGAGTAGCTGGGACTACAGGCGCCCACCACCACGCCTGGCTAATTTTTTTGTATTTTTAGTAGAGACGGGGTTTCACTGTGTTAGCCAGGATGGTCTCGATCTCCTTATCTTGTGATCTGCCAGCCTTGGCCTCCCAAAGTGCTGGGATTACAAGCATGAGCCACTGCGCCCGGCCTAAAATTTTTTATATTTGCTGCCAAATTGCCATCCAGAAGTCTGTAGTGGCTTATAGTCTTGCCAGCATTTTACTCAGTCTTTCCAGGTCTTGAGCTGGACAGGTCACTACCTGCATACTGCTCTCTAAGGCTCTTTGATTTCTTTGCTCTGTTAATTTTTTCAGGTGGGATAATTGTATTGTGGTTATGTTGTTTTTCAAAAAAAAAGTCTTTATCTTTCTGAGATACATACAAAATATTTGTAGATGGAATGAGTTAGGGGGAAAAAAGGATAGGATAGAGTTTTTTTTAATCCCAAAACTTTACTGAAAAATGAAAGGAAAAGACAACAGAACCCAGAAGTACAGAAACAGATGCACTTAATGGAGAACAGATTTCCTTACATGACTGAGGGATAACCACAGCTGGACACTTGTGGGACACGCAGTCCTGCTCCCACGCAGGGTTAGAGATTTGAGCCAGCTCTGCTGCAGAGCTTGATGGGCTTCTCAGCCCCTTCTAGAATCCGCTTCTGTCTTAGAGTTCAGGCCTCCCGTATCTCTCCTCTGGACTTGGGCTTTACTACTGTGACTTTGGGGCCCTCTCCAGCTCTCCTCCTCCAAGGATATCCCCTGATCCCCTCTCCTGGGTGAGGAAGTGTCTGAACATCTGGCTTCAGGGCTTCCAGGATTTACGGAAATTGCTTTTCATTGTCTGGTTTGGTTTGGTAAAACCTGTTTTTAAGTTCTTCCTTTTGTAGAGGTTTGGGTTTTTTATCAATAGCTCCAGGCTGGCATCTGGGCCTAGTCTCTGCATTATAATAATACCACCCCCTTTCAACAGCCAGCAGAAGCCTCAGGCCTCTTCCTGTTCCTAAGCCCTACCTCTCTGTCAGGCCACCCACTGAGTTTCTGTTCTTCTTTGATGCCTATAGCTCCAGCTTGCGTATGACTTGCAGAGTAGAAATAGGAAGAGTTACCACTTTTTGTGGGTTTGCCAAGCACCAGACACTACTAAGTGCTGTCTATTACAACATATGTATAATCATTCTGTTGCCATCAGACAACTCTGATGGCTTTTATTCTCAGATTAACACGGGAGGAATCTAAGGCTCAGAGAGACTAAGTAACTTTCTTTCTTTCTTTCTTTCTTTTTGAGACAGAGTTTCGCTCTTTTTGCCCAGGCTGGAGTACAATGGCATGATCTCGGCCCACCACAACCTCTGCCTCCCGGGTTCCAGTGATTCTCCTGCCTTAGCTTCCCAAGTAGCTGGGATTACAGGCATGCGCCTCTACGCCCAGCTAATTTTTTTTTGTATTTTTAGTAGAGATGGGGTTTCTCCATGTTAGGCTGGTCTCAAACTTCTGACCTCAGGTGATCCGCCTGCCTCAGCCTCCCAAAGTGCTAGGATTACAGGCTACAGGCCTGAGCCACCTCGCCCAGCAAGACTAAGTAACTTTCTGAAGGTCACATGGCTAGTTAAATATCAGGGCTGAGATTCAACCTGATTCTCTGACTCCACACCTTTAACCCTGTGCACTTAGAAGTAACTGAGACATTGCTCACCCTGCAGATAAGGCCTTTCCTGGCTTAGTTCCTTAGTTTCTCTTTGATGACTTTCTCTATTCTCCGTGTCCCAGAGAATACTTTTTCTATTTTTTTTTTCTTTTTCTTTTTTTTTTTTTTTTTGAGACGGAGTCTCACTCTGTTGCCAGGCTGGAGTGCAGTGGCTAATCCCGGCTCACTGCAACCTCCGCCTCCCGGGTTCAAGCGATTCTCCTGCCTCAGCCTCCTGAGTAGCTGAGATTACAGGCATGCGCCACCACACCCGGCTAATTTTTGTATTTTTAGTAGAGACGGGGTTTCACCATGTTGGCCAGGATGGTCTTGATCTCTTGACCTTGTGATCCACCTGCCTTGGCCTCCCAAAGTGCTGGGATTACAGGTGTGAGCCACCACACCTGGCCTTTGAGAATACTTTTTGAAAAAGAAAGAAACCAATATTGAGTACCTGTTGGGCCCTGTTTTGCTTTCACATCCATTCTTTCACCGTGGGTTTATAATACCACATCACTCTTCTTAAAATTAAAACTCTCCTTTACCTTGCACTTAGGAGAAAATCCAAAATTTTGACTGTGTCTTAAAAAGGTCCTGCATGCTAGCCCTTACCTACACCCAGGATCTCATCTCTAACTACTCTCCTTCATGCATAGTGCTCCCAGCTGTCCTGGCCTCCTTGTTCTTACTGGAGTACATCAGTCTCTTTCCATTTCATGATCTCTGTAGTTGGTTTTCTTGCAGCTTGGCATGGCCTTCCTGAAGTCTTTCCCTGGTTAGCTCCTCCTGAGACTTGAGGTCTTAACGTTTATAAGGTCTTATGTGCCAGTATTCCTGTCTGAAATTTCACCCTTTTGCTCCCATCACCTTCAGTCATATCACTTCATTTTATTTATTGTACTCTCCCTCATCTGAAATTATCATTTATTTACTTTGTTAGTTACTAGTCTCATTTATTAGGTAAGCTTTTTGAGGATAGACAAACCTTGTCTGGCTTGTTACTCTACTGTACTGCTAAGGTTTATGACAATGTCTATATAGAGTAGTTCCTTAATGTTTATTTGATATGCGAATGGGTGAATGAATAGCAGTCTCTACCAACAAGAGGAGGAATGGTTCTCAATGGGGCCTGAGAAATGGCTTTGGAAGAGGGTGATGGGAGAAGATTAGAACTTGGAGTGAGATCCTGACCTCTCTCCCCTTGCTTTGCAGGCCAGAGGCACCCAATGAGTTCTATGATGGAGACCATGACAATGACAAGGAAAGTGATGTGGAGATTTAAGAGTGGCTTGGGATGCTGTGTCCCAAGGAATTTCTTTTCACCTCTTGGTTGGACTGGAGGGAAAAGGAGTGGCTCCTAGAGTCCTGGAGTGGTCACCCCAGGGCTTTTGCTGACTCTGGGAAAGAGTCTGGAGACCACATTTGGTTCTCGAACCATCTACCCCCTTTTCTTCTCTCTCCTAAGGCCTGACAGTGGTACCTCTTAGGGATGAGATATGGACAAGGATAGCTATATGGGACATTATTGGCAGTGGGCCCTGGAGGCCAGTCCTTAGCCCCCCTTGTCCCTTATTTCTTCCCTGCTTCCCTCCAACCCAGAGACTTTGAGGGACGAATGGGTAGACAAGGACCGAGATTGTCTCTGACTTCCTCCTCCCCTGAGTTCTGATTTCCTCCTCCCCTTGCTTCCAGGGAAGATGAAGAGAGAGGGATTTGGCAGGGGCTCTGGCTCCCTAACACCTGAATCCCAGGTGATGGGAAGTATGTTTTCAAGTGTTGGGAAGATACGAAAATGTTCTGTTCTCACTTTTGGCTTTATGTCCATTTTACCACTGTTTTTATCCAATAAACTAAGTCGGTATTTTTTGTACCTTTCGTCTTTCTAGGAGTGTTAATTCTTGCTAGTTTCCTATTTATGAAAGGAGAGAGAAATGGGCGTGGTGATGCATGTAATGAAAGCATAGTTAACATTCATTCAGCACATATCCTATGTTAGGCCCTGTGTATGTATTCTACATTTATTATTGTATATCTAAGAAGTTAATAGAGCATTTTGGTTAAGAGTTAGACAAACCTGGGCAGATTTGAGAGGAGTATAAGATGACTTCAGGTGTTTGAATCTGGGTGTTTAGAGTAGTAATGCTAGTTGGTGAAGATACACTGAAATAAAACATGTTAAGTGCTTAGCACAGTGCCTGACATAAGTTGCCCATTAACTGTCTATGTGAAGAACAATGCTAAATACTGTAGTAGGCACAAACATGGACCTTTCTCTGGAAGAGTACATTCCAGTCAGTAGTATGATAAATACTGTAGCAGATATAGACTGGTACAAGAAAGAGGACTGATAGATGGGTCACTTCCTCCCCTCTATTCTGATTCTGTCTTTCTCAATACTAGCTTAGAAAGTAGCTTTTGGACTTTTTGGACAAAAAGTCTGGAAAGCTCAGCACTAAGTCAGGTTGAAGTATGGGAGGGACAGCTCTATGTAACATTCTATCAGGTCACTGTTAGAAGGTCTGGACCAAGAGAGATGAATGCCAAATTTAGGAGCCAGCCAGCTTGGCAGAGTCCCTGGTATATCTCAGGCCCTTGACTAGGCACTGGGGCTCTAGCGTAAGTCAGTCACTGACTCTACTCTTCGGGAACTTACACTTGAAATCTTGCTAGCTGTGGTTAAGATGATTCAGTCCATATTGTGAAGGCCGACTGGTAGCCACGTAACTCACACAAGGGACAGATGTAGCTGGGAGAATGGATGAAATTGCTTAGAGAAAGTCATGCTAGAAGAACAAAGAATATACTGTTGGAGAATACTCATTCTTTTCACTTATGTTTGGTTTATGTCAGTGGGGAATCCTGGTTAAACATAGGGTTTGGCAGCAAATCAGACTAAGCTGGGTTTAAATTTTATATATCAATTATGCCTTCTTGGGCAAGTCACTTCAACTCTCAGAAAGTCCAAATTTACTATTTATAAAATGGTGAGGCTAGCGGAATCTATCACATGGGACTGTGGGGACTTAGAAAAATACATGTAGAGTGTTTTGCATAGTGCCTGGCAGAGAGCAAAGGGCATGGTTAAGTGGTAACTCTTATTGCTGTTTAGGCACATATTGGCAATAATTAGTTTGTCCTGATTAGAAACAATTAGATGGTATCTAACCTGGAATTCAAACTAGGAAATTAAACTCCAGAGCGAGTCTGGTTTAGCCTAGTGCTTACCCTGGACGGAGCTCTGTTCTTGGTACCTTGCTTTCAAAACATGGTGGCTATCACTTTTATAACATTTTTCATGTGTTCCATGGGTATTGCACACATTAAAAACTGCATTCTCTTGAAAAACCTGGCGCTAATTTTCTGCCAGGATAATGGTCTCATGCAGTTTTTGGTCTGGGGTATGAGAGGGTCCAGGCTGTCAGGCTACAGCCATGTGGGCGCTGCGTGGGAGCCAGACGCCTGCGCTGCTCCAACCGCCAGGGGGCGGTGCTCCCCGGCGCGGCCGCGGAGAGCTGCACCGCCTACTCGCCACCCCCCCCACGTGGGTCCGAATGGTTAGGTCCGCCGGGCAGGTAGCGCGCTTCCGCGGCTTCCCTCCGCCCCTCTCCCTTCCCCCATTGGTAGGGGCTGCGGGTCCGGGCGGAAGTGGGGCAGGCGGGCGGGAGTGAGGCGTCGTCGTTGTATATTCATGAGGCGCGCGCAGCCCGGCATGCTAATGAGGCGGGGCGCGGCGGCTGGCTAAAGAGCTGCTGGCTAAAGAGCGGCTGGGCGGCGGCGGTCGCGGAGCTGCCGGGCGGGAGCGGCGTAGGCGCGGGGTTGCCGGCCAGCGTGAACCGGGAATGGAGCCGCCCGGCGGGGGCCTGGGGCCCGGCCGCGGGACCCGGGACAAGAAAAAGGGCCGGAGCCCAGATGAGCTGCCATCGGCGGGCGGCGACGGCGGCAAATCTAAGAAATTTGTGAGTGTCCCTCCCATCCGGCTCCTGCCTGGCCCCGTAAGCGCCCTCTGGACCCCTGCAGCCGGCCCCAGGGGCGCGCCTGCCTGGCTCTGGGGAGCCGCCCCCGCGTCTCCCTTCCTCTTTTCGCTCTGTCCGCGGCTCTGCAGCCCGACATCCTCCCCTTCGGGACCTCGGGAAGCCCCGGAGTCCCACCCGGCTCTTACCCCGGCCACCTCGGGGCTTCCCTCGCTCCCTAGCCCGCACATTTTGCCCTCCTGCCCGCATATCCCCGGCCGTCTCTCAGCCCCATCTCTCCCCTCTCAGCCTCACTTCCTTTCTTCTTCCTCCAGTACCCGAACACGCCTCCTCTTTTTTGGTCCCCTCTTCTGGGTCCATTTTCTCTTCTTACCCTTACCCCTTTTTTGGTATTCTCGTATTTCCTTCTCCTAAAGGTCACTTCCTTCTCCATGATTGATCCTTTTTACCTGCTAACTTTCCTCCCGCCCAGTCCCCTGGGCCCTCCGCCGGGTGTCACCTGATAATCCTTCCCCTCAGGAATGTTACCTGACTTGAGCCCTACCCCCCTCCTTCTTTGGACATTTGTCCTTGCGATTACAGGCATGGGTTCCTGCCCAGGTCCTATGGTCACTGGGGCATGACGTTTATTTGCTTACCAGTATTTCTCTATCCAGAGAACCTCTCTTCCCTGTTGCTCATCACTTTTCAGAGGATTAGAACTCTTATGATTATGCCCTTCTTGACGTAGGATGGTGGTAAATCTCTCCTGTGGGAAGAAAGTTGGACTGCGAGTTCAAGAAGTTTGTAATTGAATTGGTTTTTTTTACATTTCCCATGATAACCATCTCCTCAACTCCTTTTCTACTGCCTCTTGTGCCCCAAGGCGACTACTGGCTTCCCTTTGCGTGCCTGTAGAAGAGTAACCTTTCCTCAAATGCCAGTTACTTTCAATCCGAGTCTGAAGGAATATCAATATACGTGTAACCCTATCATATTTCATTACCTTTTGTCCACACCATGGCCTCTCTCCAGGGAGTCGTTTGGTTGCTTTTTGCTATAAAAGCTTTGTAAGATATGTGGCACTGTCCGGGAGAGGAAGAGTCTTGAATATTGATGCTCATTATAATAGCTAGTTATAACTGTAGCTCTTTTGTCTTCCAGGTATTTATGCCCTTAGCCTAGTGTATCTTTCTACTAAACAAATGGCTTGTAACTCTTACCTCTTTCTCTTAGTCCCACCTCCCAACATTTTGACCCAGCTCCATAAATTTGGGAAGAAAAGTGATAAAGCAATGGAAACAGGAAGAAAATGTTGTTTTATGACTAGAGGGTTGAGATGTTAACCCTGAAGGGTTAGGTGTTTAATTCTAAATAGAATTAAAATAGTGACTCATCTCTTCCTATTTCTATTCTAGCAAGACCAAGTGCTCCTGGACTGCCCTTTCCAGTGATATCCGAGATGTCAGTAACCACCTGTTTTTATCTGGTGAACATCTTATTTTCCCCCCTAGAAATATAAGGTTAAGAGTATTGACACCCGCTCCTCCTTTGGTGACTAAAGCAGCATTTTTGTATCTTTCTTTAGGATAAGGATTGACCCCTCCCCGCCATTAGCTTTCCTTCCAAAACTTAAGTTCTAGGGCTCATATTCCTTCTATTTCTATATGTTTTTGTTTTGATTTTGTTTCCATGAGTACTGTTTGACCTTCCTCACCCGAATTCCAGCTATTACTGTTGACTTGTGGTGACCTCTGTGACTTGTTTTCAAGTCTTGAGTGTAATTTTATATGTACCCTATTTTATCTAACAATTGTTTATTTCACAAATTTGAGAAGTCTACTATGTGTGTGGTGCTGTAAGGTGAGAAACCTGAGGAAGCTCAACCCCTTTTCACCTGTCTTTTGGAATGTCCATGAAGTCTTCTATATGTTTAGTGGATTTGGCTCAGAGTTGTTGGTATTTGCTTTAAAGAGGGTGGAGCTGAACCAAGTTCTCTTTTCTTTCTCCGGTGTTAGTCTTAACCCTTAATCTGCTGAATTTTTAAGACTAGATAGCTCAGGTAATTAGGAAAATTGCATTAGTAGCTAGGGAATTGGAAGGTTTCTAGGAAAGTAGTGCTGCTTAACCCTTTTATTGCTAAATGTAACCTATCTCAAGGCATCAGAATATTCTTTCTTCCTCTTGCTCTTTTTCTGAGAACTCTGTGGAAATGAGAGATGAGGAGGAGCATTGCAATCCACTTCTCTTTGTGTCTCTGTATGTATATGTGGGTGGGTGGAGTGGGTGAGATTGCTGGTGTGCTTTTGATACCCGTGGCTTAGTTTTCTTGAACTATAGGCTAAAACTGAACTCAAAGCTCTTTCGCCGCCTCCACCTTTTCTAAAGTATGTGTCCTCTGGAGCTCCATTAAGAATGTACTTTATAAAACTGCACTGGTTTGGACTAAGTGTGACCGAAGGTTGTTTGCATTTGAGGGATTATAATTCCTTTAGCTGCTACGTACCTTTCCTGGCTTATGCGGGTTCTAAATACGGATTAACTGATGAGAACACAGAGCTCACAAATTGTCTAAGATCTGCTCTTACCCTCTGAGGCATCTTGTGTGGAAAGGAGATGGAGTCTCAGTTTAAAAGTGGTTGGGCATCATCTTTTAAAAACACATGATTGTTAGGGGTGCTGACAGTGAGTGGCTGAAGCCAGGCTGCCTGGTATTACCCCTGGGTTCTTCATGAGTCTATCTTCTCCCGGGCCATGAGCATACTGCTTCTCCAGCATTATTCCATTTCCTTTCACAAGTCCTTAAGGTGAAGGAAAATAAAAATTCTAGGTGAACAGAGGGTTTTCTGACTTTTCAGCAGTGATGAATGTGGGTGTCAAATAGACTGATTTCCAAAATATACATGAGGGGAGTAAGTAGAACCAGGATGTTAGGAGACTGCAGAGTATGCCTGTATTTAATAGACTTTGCATGCATTCTCATATAATCGGGAAAGTGATACATTCTAAGAGAGAATATTGCTTCCTGATTTAACTAGGAGCATAACTTTGTAAAACATTAATTTTGGTGTGGGATTAGAGATAATTTTTTTTTTTTCTGAGACGGAGTCTTGCTCTGTCCAAGGCTGCAGTGCAGTGGTGCCATCTCGGCTCACTGCAACCTCCACCTCCCGGGTTCAAGCGATTCTCCTGCCTCAACCTTCCAAGTAGCTGGGATTACAGGTGCGCGCCACCACACCTGGCTAATTTTTGTATTTTTAGTAGAGACAGGGTTTCACCATGTTGGCCGGGCTGGTCTCGAGTTCCTGACCTCGTGATTCTCCAGCCTTGGCCTCCCAAAGTGCTGGGATTACAGGTGTGAGCCACCTCGCCTAGCTGAGAGAATAATTTTTACTATTATTAAAATTATTGTTATTACATTTATTAAAATTTGTTTAATTTTGGATGCCTATATTGAGTTTTGGTCATGTTGCAGTTACGCAGTCTTCTAAATGCAAAGTAATAGAGTATAAATGTTTAGTTGTAGACTCCTGTCCAAAAGGAGAGAAATTAAAGGTAAAGGATGCCAGGCAGAATTTTAAGCAGATATTAGGAAACAGAATATGAAAGAAGTGGAGTTGTTCATGCAGATTTCTGCTTATATCCTCTTAAAACATGAACTTTAATCCAAAAGTTTGCAGAAAACTGAAAAATATACAGAGAGCTTTGCAAAAGTTTGCAGAAAACTGAAAAATATACAGAGAACTTTGTACACTTTTTTTTTTTTAAACAGATTATAAACGCAAGGATTATTTAGTTTGGAAAGAGGGAGGGGAACCTACAGGAATGTTAGTGAGATGTTTGAGATGACAGAATGATAGCTTAAAAATTTCTGCCATTCTTCCTGCCTTGTCTTAAGGACAGATCATGAGTCTACTTGGTGTGGTTACCTGTACTTTCTCAAAGAAAATTCTCCCTCACGGGAGGCGAAAGTGAGGGAATGCCTTGGAATTAAAATCTCTGCCTTGGGAGAGGTGGTAAATTGTTTTAAAAAGAGCTGAAAATTTTATGACCGGTAAATTATGTTTATTATGAAAGCTAAGAAAATAGTGAGACATAATTTAATTTTGTTGATGGGTGCATGGGTCAGAATAATTTTATTTCATGTGTCATAGAATAACCTTTTGTTATTCCCCAAGGCCCTTGGTATTTTATAAATGTATTGCCAGGTTAGTCTTGGGAAGTGTTATCTATCTTCTGTGAAATGTAATAGAGATTTAAAAGATAAGTTAAATGTCACATATGATTTAGAAGAACAGGTTAAAATAATTTTTATTGATAAATACTAGATGTTATAGAGAAGCAAAGAGTTTGTATATGCAGGTTTATATATCTCTTTTTATGTCTCAGTAGCTGAAATTATTCATGGCTACAAAAATCATCCCCATTTTGAAGCAAACTTTGTATTACTTAAGTGGTTTTCTTTTTTCGTTGAGCCTCCTTTTCTCAATGACCTTTGTTTGAAAGCAGTAGGCAAAAAATTCATTTTGTGCTACCAGCAAAGCATTGGATGTTTGCCCCTCCTTGGGGTTAGGTGAGGCAAAGCCACACTCTCCCCTTGCCTGACTGCCTGTCACCTCCTCCCTCTGTTTTTATTCCTTTCCTACTTCTGTGGTGGCTGATTTGAGACCTATGAATAGCCAGGCCTTTGGGGAATTAGGGGCAGTCAGAAGCTATTGATACTAAAATTTCTTAAAACCTTTCTGCTAAAAATTGAAAAGTAAAGAATACTTTAATTACCATGAACATATTTTACTGTATTTTCTCCTTTATGTTTCCTTTTTTTTTTTTTTTTTTACAAATTTTTTAGGATCCAGAAACCCTTTTTAAGAAAGTAAAAGAACTACTGAAGGAAAAGAGAAATAGACCAATATTTTAATGAATTTTACCAATGATTACAAGATAACTCTCATTGTTCTTTCAACTTTGAAATTCTTACTTCCATCCATTATTAAATCTTACTATGA